ATTCACCTAAACTGTTAAAAAACAAACCCAAAAAACTAAAAGAAAAAATATCATAAGCTTTTATTTAAAATTTTGTTTTAGAGATTCTTGTACTTGCGATTACAACATCTGATTTTAGCTGATAAAGCCTTAAATTCCATTCTACTTCAGCTTGAAATTCAAAGGGTTCTGAAAGGAATGCAGATTGATTTACTTCTAACTTGCTGTGTTAGCTGGAGTAAATTATTTAACTGATTTGTGCTTTTTTTGGAGGAGAGGTTACATTAGTCTGCCTCTTGAATGTTTCTGGGACACTTAAGTGTAAAAACTATCCTGCAATACATTATCCAAAGTAACTCATGGCAGAGTCTGTTTTTTCTCTGCCTTGATGGCTGTAGATTGTGGAGTTTTAATTACTAATGTACTTTCAATGAGTCCAAATGATAAAAAGATGCACCCTCAGTTTAATAAGAAATTTTCAAAGTAACAGTAGGAAGTTTGTGTCAATTGTGGTATAAATTTTATTTCAGCAACATTAAAATGTAAATATATATACGTCTTAAAATTGAGGAAACTCTAATTCCCAGAGTTGTTCTGAAGATTAAATGAGCTTCTCATTCTACACTGTTAAGTGTTACAATTCAAATATTATTAATTGCCTCACCCACCCCACAGCCCAGCCTTTGACAATATACTAGTGACTTGAAAAAACAGAAGAATATGCCATTCAATTTTGGGATCAAACGTTTTCATGAGAGTCATTTTTTTAAGGGAAAATATATCATTCTTTTTTTCTTTTTCTTTTCTTTTCTTTTGTGTGTGTGTGTGTGTGTGTATGTGTGTGTGTGTGACAGACAGGGGTCTTACTCTGTCACCCAGGCTGGAGTGCAGTGGTGCTATCTCAGCTCATTGCAACCTCTGCCCCCTGGGTTCAAGTGATTCTCATGTCTCAGCCTCCCAAGTAGCTGGGATTACAGGCATGTGCCACCATGCCTGGTCAATTTTTCTATTTTAGTAGAGATAGGGTTTCACCATATTGGCCAGGCTGGTCAATCTCCTGACCTTGTGATCCACCCACCTCTGCCTCCCAAAGTGCTGGATTACAGGTGTGAGCCACCACACCCAGCCCCAGAAGGAAATTTGAAGTTCAATGAATTTTATCCCCAAAGTTTATAATAGGGAAAAACAGAGGTCCAGAGAAATAAAGTGATTTATCCATATGCATATGGTTCATGGCACAGTTGAGACAGAAAGAGGACTTTTTATAGAGGACATTGACAATTGTTAGTAATTATGATTACATACAGTAAAGCATTGAAGCTAGCTTTGTAATTTCAGTTCAAACAAATATCATTCAAACAAAGAAGTGGTAGGATGTTAATCCCCCAAATGCACAATGCCTTAGCAACAGTACAGTGCAAGGGTAAACTGATTTCTGTTGTGGAATTGAGGTAGTGGGGACTGAGAGTGTGAAAGCTGTCACAATCAAAATGGAGTCACTAACGAAAAAAAAACTCTGATAAATAGAGCCATGAAGGGAGAGTTTTTTATGCATAAATGCCTTGTATTAAAAACGACCACAAGAGACTTCAAAACCTACAAACTTGCGCACAGGCATCACAGCCCTACACCAAAAAACACTTTTACCAGGACATCTGCCCAGCAACTGCCTGTCCAGCCTTAGACTGGCATCACCGCTGTTATTGATATTTGTAGCCAGGGATACTTATCAAAACAATTATGCAATCTTCCTCATTTTTTTCTTCTTAAAAACCTCTGTCTTCTGTTACCTCCCTGAATACACACGGAGTTTACTATGGCAGGCATCTTTCCATTGCAGTACTTTTTTCCCCAAATAAACCTCTTTTCTTTTAGAGAGCCTCTCTCTTTGTTATTTAGGTGACAAGAGTGCATGAGAAATGCACAAGTGTAGAATTCTGATGTACTAGATCACCCCCTCCCCATGGAAAACAAAACCTCACTCAGCCTGAGTGAAGGAGTGCTTGAACTAAGTCCTTCTGTACAGGAAAGGAGTTACACACCCCTCCAGGATGCCACCCCTACACCCAAGCAATTTGTTTTGGTCTGAAAATGACAAAGCAGACTGGACCTCAGGCATGTGACTACTGGCCTGTGACAGACCTGTGCACAGTAGAACCGAAAGAGGTTATGACTTCCCTTGTGGGCACTAGGAGGCTGGGCTGAGCCCGCATGAATGATGGCACTTGCTAGGGTCACAGAGATGCATCTTTAAGTGCATTCAATTACAGACCTACCCATACAACTGCATCTCCGACATGACACTGTAGATTCCATAGCACCTTTCTAGAAGGCTTATCTGAGACTTGCAGGCAGGATCCAGCTCATTGTGGTTTTATCTACACAAGGCAGGTTAACAGTGTTGTTACCATTTCCCATCTGTGGTTACTGATACCTGGTTAGATAATTGCTCCAAGCCCCCTAGCTGAGGGGAAGTAGAGTCAGATCTCTTGATGCTGTGAGATGCTCTGTCTGGCCTTAGCTTGGCCTGCTTTTCAACTTTGACACAAACTGGAAGCAAGCTGCAAAGCCGAATTGAAGATTTGTAGGATTTTAAAACACAGCCTGGTGTGGTGGCACAGGCCTGTAGTCCCAGCTACTTGGGAAGCTGAGGTAGGAGGATCTTTAGAGCCCAGGTGTTGGAAGCTGTAGTGAGCTATGATCGCGCCACTGCACTCCACCCCAGGCGAATGAGTGAGAGACCCCGATTGCCTCCCCCCACAACAAAAACAGAAAGTAGGACACGTTGTCTGTATTTACAACTAGCTCATTTAGTTCTCAGACATGAGTATTACGACAATATTCATCTGGCAGTTCAGGATCAGAGCGTAGGAAAGCCTAGGCGAGCTGCTGAGTGAGCCCAGTGGTCCCGATGCGTCCTGACTTCCAAGCCTCTGGACCTTCGTGCTGCTGTCAGGAGCGCGTTGCCAAGCCCCTCCCCAAGGGTCCCCCTGCAGGGGTTCCTGTCCCCTAGACACTCGTCCTGAACCCCGGCGCAGACTGCAGCTTCCTCCTGCCTGACCCCGCCAGCCAGCCTCTCCTCACCAGGGGACCGGCAGAAGCCTGGGTCTTCGCCTGGCGCTGCGACTCAGATCTTTAGTCTTTGTTTGGAGCACGAGAGAACCTGGGAACGGGAGGAGGCGTGACTTCAATATTCATATCGTTGTTAAATAAACGATTTCCTAATCTGTATCTGTTACATGCCAGCGTGAAACTTCTGTAGGCAGAGCCGGCTGTGCTGCCAGCCCTTCCTTCTGCTCTCCCCACCCACCTCTGCCTCCCCCACCCAGCCTTCCCTCGGCAGCAGCGGGGAAGAACAGCCCAGCAGACCAAACAACCGGGGCCGCGGGTGGGAAGCTGTTCCCGCCGCTAGTGGCTGGCGTTGGAGAATGTGAAGATTTTTCCATTCATAAAAGGAACGTCCCCGCTCGCCGCCTTCCCGCCCGCGGCACACCGCCACATCCGCAGCGGGTAGGGCTGGGTCGGGGGGGGGACACTCGGTTTCCAGGGGCCTACCCGGGCGCACTCGCCTTTCTCCAGGAAGCCCCATTTTGTGAGCCGCACCGCGTGTCCTCACTCAGTCCGTGCACACCGTTGACCTGGAGCGCGGATGAGCACCCTTGGTTGAAACGAAGAGACAAAATGGCTTGTGGTTCAATTCATAAATAAAACCTCACCCTTGGACTTCAGGCTGCCCGACATTTTGTGACTTGCATTTTTTTTTTTCTTTATCATAGTTTAAAGAAGCGACTGTCAGGCCATGTTGCCTATCCATTTCTAAATGACTGGCTTTTTAGGACCCCGTTTTCCCGCTTCTATGGCGGTGGGTTGGGGGTGGGGGTGGGGGTGGAACTGGAGTGGCCCAGGGAGACGATGGCAGGGGTGTGGCGGGGCAGGGCGTTGTACTAATTCAAGACGCAATCTCCATCCAAATAATGGATTGTCATTAACGATGATCCTCTCTGCAAAACCCTTAAAATTGCCCCTTGATTCCCTAGCAGCAAGAGGCGAGCCCTTATTCGCTGAGCCGAAGCCTCCTCCCCCTTCCTCCCCATTACTCTGCTCTGGAAATTACAACTCCTCAGCGCTCCGCTCCGGGAGGCGGCGGCAGCTGCGGGAGGGAGGCGGGGAAGGGATTCCCGAGCCAGCCGGGCGCTCGCCCTCCGCCCGCAGGCTGCAGCGTCGCGCGGCCAAGGTCAGAGGCGCCGCAGGAGCAGCAGCTGGGAACCAGGGAAGCGGGTCAATCCCGGACGCAGGGAGGCAGCCCGAGGGCGCAGTCAGCCGGGCGTCCGCAGCCACCGAGGAGGAAGGCGAGCGTCTGTCTCCGGGCGGGTCGGGTACCGCCGAGGTGGCCGCGGCCCCAGCGACCCGGCGGGTGGCTGCCCAGGGGTCGGCAAGCCGGCAGCTGCAGCCCCACCTTCGGCTCCCGGGCGCTGTCCGCCGCCTCGTGGTGCTGATCGCAGCCACGCAGCTGAGCAGCCTTCGCACCTGCCTGCTCACCTCCCGATCACCCCGATAAAGAGCCGGGCGGGAACAAAAAGGGGACCTTGGGGTGGCCGCCCACCCGAGCCAGGGGCTGCAGCAGCGAGCGCACAGCAGCCCGGCCGCTGGTCCTTGAGTGGAGAGGAGGCGCGCTGCGGCCGGCGGCGGCGCTGGTGCTGATTCATCACCTAGAGCTCCTCGCAGGCCACCGCCAGGGCAGCCGACCCGCTCCGGACTCTGGCCGCAGGTTGAAGCCGCCGGTGCAGAAGCCTCACGGGGAGGAGGTGAGGACCCCCCCTCCCTTCTCTTGCCCCCAATCATCCTAGGGCGGTGGCTACAGGACAGAGAGAGGGGCGTGCCCCTCGGCTGTGAAGTGGGCATGCCCGTGTGATGCCCCCGCCTGCCGTCTCACAGGAGCTCGCCACGCTGATCCTCCGCCGGTCTCCCAAGCTCCGGCCATTCATCCCCAGCGCAGAGCAGCGCGGGCAGCAGGCGCCGCGATGGAGGAAGAGCTGAAATGTCCCGTGTGCGGCTCTCTGTTTCGGGAGCCCATCATCCTGCCCTGTTCCCACAATGTCTGCCTCCCTTGCGCTCGCACCATCGCGGTGCAGACCCCGGACGGCGAGCAGCACCTGCCCCAGCCGCTCCTGCTTTCCCGCAGCTCGGGGCTGCCCGCGGGCGCAGGTGCCGCTCCCTCTCTGGAGCACGACGCGGCGGCGGGCCTGGCCTGCAGCGGTGCGGGCGGGAGTGCAGCTGGCGGTCTTGGCGGCGGTGCGGGAGGTAGCGGAGACCACGCGGACAAACTGAGCTTGTACAGCGAGACAGACAGCGGCTACGGATCCTACACCCCGAGCCTCAAGTCCCCCAACGGGGTTCGTGTGCTGCCCATGGTGCCCGCACCACCCGGCTCCTCAGCCGCCGCGGCCCGCGGTGCCGCCTGCTCCTCGCTGTCCTCGTCTTCAAGCTCCATCACGTGCCCGCAGTGCCACCGCAGCGCCTCTTTGGACCATCGCGGCCTGCGCGGCTTCCAGCGCAACCGGCTGCTCGAGGCCATAGTGCAGCGGTACCAGCAGGGCCGTGGGGCGGTGCCGGGGGCATCTGCAGCGGTGGCGGTGGCCATCTGCCAGCTGTGCGACCGCACCCCGCCAGAGCCAGCAGCCACGCTCTGCGAGCAGTGCGACGTCCTCTACTGCTCTGCCTGCCAGCTCAAGTGCCATCCATCCCGGGGACCCTTCGCCAAGCATCGCCTGGTGCAGCCGCCACCGCCACCCGCGCCCGTCGAGACAGCCTCTGCACCCACTGGCGCCACCCAGGGCGCCCCCAGCGGAGGCGGGGGCTGCAGGAGCCCGGGAGGTACGGGGGCCGGGCCGTCTGGGGGCAGCACGGCCCGCAAGTTCCCCACGTGCCCGGAGCATGAAATGGAGAACTACAGCATGTACTGCGTGAGCTGTCGAACCCCTGTGTGCTATCTGTGCCTGGAGGAGGGCCGGCACACCAAGCACGAGGTGAAGCCACTGGGGGCCATGTGGAAACAGCACAAGGTGAGCCCGTCGGGCAGGACGCGGGAGTGCCGGTACCAGGGAAGAGGGTACAAGGAGAAAGGCTCTTGGTCTCTTCCTTGTAGAGCTGACAGAAAGTCGGTCAGAGGGTCAAGCAGAAATTACCTCACTCGTTTGCCATTCATTCCATCAGATAGTCATTTGACAAACATCTAAGGAACTCCAGGTACTCTGGACTGGATGCTGGAGACGGGAGGGGTATGGAAAGATGACTTGCTAGGTCCCCACCCACCTCAGGTTTTAGGATTTATGTAGGCTCAGGGCACCCAAACGCAGAAGCAGGACTCTTTTACTCCCAAAGTCTGACTAATAAGTTTCCTTGATGGTCTCTTTTGAGTTAAGGCATGCAGGATCGTCTTTTCCCCTCTGCCACTTTCAGCAATTTGTGGCTGGCAATGTGTCCTTGTATCTGATACTGCCAGAAAGAGAGAAGCCATTAAAACCTGGTCAGATCCTTGATCAGACCCCAAGTCAAGACTGGAGTGGGTTTTTCTAACATTCACCTAAATTTCCCATCCAAAGGCCAAAGCTAAGCAACTGAACTCACAATAAACTAGGCCTGGCAGAGTTAGAATCCTGTGGGATGGACCCCTAGCTGCCTCTGGAACTTCAGACACCAGTCATTCCGTGTGCTCTTACCAGTAAACTCTCACCACAGAGAGGCAAAAGGTCTCCAGAAATATATATTTGGATTGAGAAGGAAAATAAAGTAATTGGTCAAGGCTATCACATATCATCCAACTGGAAATAAGCAAAAAGTGAGCACAGATGAGAGGAAAAGAAGAGACTAAGAGACCAACCATTCCTATATAGATTTGCTCAGCACATATAGTTACTCTATAGTATTATCTGCTATAATGAGCATATGTCGTTACTATAATTTAACATTTTAGAATAAAACATTAGAAAAAACAAATGTGAAACACTTTAGAAATCCACCTTTAAGAGGAAAATTTGCATAATACATAGAAAAAAGAGAAACATGTAGTCAAATCCCTAGTTGTAGAGCAGTAGTTCTCAACTGGGTCCAATTTTCACCCCTTACCCCGCCCCCTCCCCAATATTTGGCAATGTCTGGGGACATTTTTAGTTGTCACACCTACAGGGTGCCACTGGAATCTAGTAGATAGAGGCCTGAGAAGCTGATAAACATTCAACAGTACATAGTAAAACTCCCCAAAACAATTATTCAGCCCCAAATGTCAATAGAGCTCTGGAGAGAAATCCTACTCTATAGTTACACAGACTTGTATCTAAATCTTAGGACTTGCAATTTACTAGCCATATTAGTCTAGGCACAATTTAAAATTCATAGGAAAAAAATCAAACTTAGACAACTGTGGTAAGGATTAATTATAATACTGTATATTTAGCCTCTAGCACAGCACCTTAAATATTATTCATAAATAACATTAAATGTTACTGTTTATTTTTGTAGTCCTAATACTTAAAACCAGTGGACTTGCAGAAAGCTACAGGGCATGGCAAAGAGTGCTTATCTGGCCTCATTGACTTGGTTAGCAGGAGAAAACATGAGCTGGCAACTTTTGGTGGTGTTGATGCTGAGTCCTAAAATAGCTCTGAGCTGAATCAGAATGGTTGCCTTGAATTAGTTATCACTCATGTGACATTTTGTTGCATATTGCTTCACAGTATTGTAGCTATCTTGCTTATTTCATCTTTTAAGTGAATAAACATCATTTCACAAATAAATTATTTATTAAAAAGGCTATGACCAATTACCAAGACAAGAAGTAGATTCCAAATCTCACATTCAAATTTCACAAACTGCTGAATCTTCACAGCTTAGAGAGCCAAAACTGATTCTGAGTCTTGCCACTCAGTTGTTCAGAATTAGTGAAGAGGAAACCAGAGAGTTGAGGTGAGAATTTGCAATTGTAGGAGAAATTAAGTGTCTTACATAGAAAACTGAGTTGGATAATGAACTATGGTTTCAAGAACTAAGGTTCTACAAGAAAAATCTTTGGTCATCCCTGGCTTGGTGTCAAGAGCAGTTTCATAAAATTTCTATCCTCGGCCAACAATGCAAAGTTATGAGGAAATATGGGAAGCACATGTGACATCTGCCCCATACAGTGGACCGTGTAAGCTGTGGGAATATGACTATGCAGGATCTCAGTTTTATGACATCCTCCTAAATCCAGAAGGAACATTCCAATATACTTTTGTGAACACTTGTTTTCAAGAATGAACAGAAGCACTGCTGGTCTTCTTCAGCAAGTGCTGTTGATTTCTACAGAAAGGGAAATTACTGAGTGTTTATTATGAGCATTTTACCTGGGGACTGACAATCAAAAGAAAAGATAAAAGGGGGAGCCCTGGTCAAACACTGGTGGTCTTGCTTTGTGGCTGTGCATCTAGACCAGCATGTATGCTGTGAGGGTGGCTACTTTTGAAAGACAAATTAGAACACTCCATTAAGACTCCCACTGTTGGTGACTTAAGTTCTCCAGTAAAACAAAGTCTCTGGATTTTGTTGTTGTTGTTGTTATCTAAAAATCTCAGAATCTTGACAAAGCGTCATTGCACCACCAGAACCAGAACTGGGACAGCAACATTTCTCTAACATTCCTGTGATTAAAGAAGCTGTCATCAAAGCCTTGCTTTAATTTTTCACTGGCGTGAATGCAGCTTGCCTTCTGATTAGTGATTCTTAAGTAAAGAGACATATATGTGACACCGAAATCTATTTTAAAACATGATTGATGACCACCTTTTAAAAGCAGTGTAAAAAACTTTAGGGCTTGACTAAACACATTTCTATATGTGTTTCTTGGGAGAGGATTAGCTATTTCAAAGAGCTTCTGATGTGAAGATGGGGGATAGGGAAGGGTAACTGTACAGGAGAGCATTTGGGTTTTTTGCTTCTTGATTATGAAAATCTGTTTTTCCTGAAACTGGAGGAAAGGGTTACTGTGTGACACAGTTCTTTCCTAGTGTGACGTGACACAGGATGTCAACATCTGTAACTCCTGCTTCAGGGAGAACTCTGACCTGCTGGGTGCAGATGGCCAACTCTGAATTAAAACGTGTAGGAGTTGATTCTTAAGTTGAGGTTATAGAATAATTCTTTTTTTTAAAATATAGATAAGCTCTTCTTCTGGAGTTCTTTGAGAGCCACTGTAAATAGAAGAGTCTTGAAAGAAAATCTCACCGATACCCCAGAAGTACTATTCCAACTGAGTCAGCACCTCACAAAAGCAAGGGAGAGGGTGTGACCTGGAAAACACAGGAAAGACAGGACTTTTGATCACTCAAATGTCTTTTTTTAAATTAAGAGATGGGGTCTTACTACATTGCCCAGGCTAGTCTCCAACTCCTGACCTTAAGTGATTTTCCTGCCTTGGCTTCCCAAAGTGCTAGAATTAGAGGTATGGACCACTGCATCCAGCCAACTCCCATGTCCTAAGGCTCTGCCAAAGGGTAGGTAGCTTCTCGGCCTGCTGTCTTACCTTATTTTGTAAAAAGGGTATGTTAGGCTTTAAAGGCTCAGAGGAAATAATTCTTCTATTAAAAGGAATAACATATACATGAGAAAGAACACGTAGTCATATTTGCATGGTGAGCACAGGTAAAAATATTTTAATATTTGTAAATCTTTTTTCAAATATTTTGAGACAAGGTCTCTCTATGTTGCCCAGACTAGAGTGCAGTGCTGTGATCACAGCTCACTGTAGCCTCAATGTCCTGCACTCAAGCAATCCTCCCACCTCAGCCTCCCAAGTAGCTGGGACTACAGGCACACTCCACCACCATGCCTGGCTAATTTTAAAATTTTTGGTAGAAACAAGGTCTTGCTCTGTTGACCAGGCTGGTCTCGATTGAACTCCTGGCCTCAAGCTGTCCTCCCACCTTGGCCTCCCAAAGCACTGGGATCATGCCTGTAGATGTGAGCAACTGTACCTGACCAATGTGCGTCATTTCTGATGGCTGCCTGGCATTCATCAGAAGCAGTTATATTTTATTTCATCAACACCTTAATACTGAACTTTGGGTTGTTTCTGTCTTTTGCTGTTACAAACATTTTGATAGTTAAATCTATGCCTACACTCTTAATTATTTCCTCGGGTTACATTTCTAGATATGGAATTGCTGTATCAAAGGATACCTAACTTTGCCACATCCAATTAATGTCTCCAAATTACCTTTCATAAAGATGACACCTACTTTCTTTTTCAATAACAAAATTATGTAAACAATTAAAAATTCATGTGGACAGGGACCACAGGGAGAAATGATAAGGTGGATTGTCTTCTTTCTAGTAGTTATTGTTTGCTATTTTCATTACATTATTGCTAGAGCTATTTTTAAAAAGAAGGTGACATGTATCTAGATTTTCATAGTTTTAACTACTATTTGGGATCTTCCCTCAACACTTGGTTTAACATTTACAGATATCGCTCACTATGCCCTCTTGGATTTTAAGGTCTGTGAAAAGACAAGGCTTTGGGGACCTACCTAAGACATTTTTGGGTGGGGTTGGGCAGGCAAAAATTTAAGTAGGGAGAAATGTTCAGTAAAAGGGAGGTCTGAAATCTACAACTCTATGGCTGATAACTGTTCACTAACTACCAACTTTAAACAGAGTGTTTGGAGTCCAATCTGAACAGAGTCCGCCAGGGCTCTCAGAGCACATGGCATGGAAATATGCTCGCTCTTATTCTGAGTGGAAGCCCTAGGTTTTTTTCTTTAATTTTTAGTTTGTGAGACAGAGTCTTGCTCTGTTACACAGGGTGGGGTGCAATGGTGCTATCTCAGCTCACTGCAACCTCCACCTCCTGGATTCACGTGATTCTCCTGCCTCATCCTCCTGAGTAGCTGGGATTATAGGTGCCCGCCACCAGGCCTGGCTAATTTTTTTTTTTATTTTTAGTAGAGACAGGGTTTTGACATGTTGGCGAGACTGGTCTTGAACCCCTGACTTCAAGTGATCCATCTGCCTCGGTCCCCCAAGGTATTGG